AGTTGTATTCGGAAAAAATAAACCAGTTTTATTAAGTAAGGACTTGTGTCGCTAAAGTTTCGTCGGAACAAAGTTACGGAAAGTTAATTAACGAACGGAGACGTAACAATATGCTCAAGAAAGCTGATAAAATTTATAGCCCTGTATTGGCAGGTATTAAAACATAACAACAAGAAGACAAAGATGGTATAATGAAAGGACAGTACACTATAAAACTAGCTAAGAATAGTTTTCAAAGTAAAGTCTATTGCTTCATTTTCTCTACTGTCACAATATATTCAGGTAATTACAATGCATCAATTTAAATAAACTTGAATATGTTTGTATTAACCTACTGCCTCCATGGCCTCTAGTACAGTGACCATATTTTTATGAACACTCTGCTCCACGTTTTAGCTAGTCAACATTCAAGTATGATTAAAGTGTCCATTGGTTATCAATGTTCTAACTACATAGTATGCTACTAGGTGTATACAAGATAGTCAGTCTTACAGACACACAAATAGTTTCTTCAACAACAACAACCTGTCTTTCAGACAGTCAAATGGTTTCTGAACAACAATCAGTCTCCTACATATAATCAACCTAACTCTCAACAATCAAGCAATATTTCTGAAAAAAAGTCTCTTAATCTTAACCAAGTAATCTTTCAGAAAAAAAAACTATTTCCCAGCAGTAGTCTTCCAGACACAATCACACAAGCAGACTTTCCTAAACAAGTTTTTCTGCAACAAACATGCTTCTACTAGTAATTAAACCAGTCTTTCTGCTCTTCTTGAAATATTGATTTATTTAAAATTGCATTGCATTTCTTTTGTTGCATATCTGAGATTTTTCTGATCTAGTTAAAATAAAGATAACGAAGATTCACGTTTAGACATGTTGCTGCTGGTCCCAAAATTGATTTCTAATTATAAAAAGTGTACAAAAATAACTAAAACGTGTTTAATTAAAAAAAAAGTGTTGTCAGAAATTTTATAACCAAATTTTATAAAAAAATTAGGAAAATGCCATAGAATCTCTTAAAAAAATTTTATCCTCAAAAATATTAATTTATTTTAAATAAAATTCATTATGTCATAAACAGGCAGTTAAAACACACCCATAAAAAAAACAATATTGATAACCTTGAGATTTGACCTCCATGGTGTACTATCTTCAGTAAAATGTAGATGTAGGTTTAGCAAATCTACATTCATTAGTGTTCACTAAGAACTGGGGCAATGTTCTTTCGTTCAAATTGTTTCACATGCAAGGCCCGCCCGTCCACGATATCCTGCTGCCAAAAATGGTTCACTCTAACCAGACGGTTTCCCCGAATTATAATAATAATAAAAACAAGCGAACGGCCCGTGAATACGTTAACTACGTATTTCACTATATGGGAATAGTACAGTTATTTTAGTTCCTAAAACACAAACAAACATTAGTTTATGTTTTATATGTATATTCAACGTCATTGCCATCCTCTTAAATAACACAGTATTTAAAAAAAAAATAAAGTTAAGTAGCACGTGGTTTTAACTTATTAACATGAATGAAATTAGCTATATTACTAGTGACTTAATGGTTTAAATTTGTATACATGAACGAAATTCACAACCGTAATACAACAAAAATTCTGTAACAATCAACAACAGGATAACTGCAAGTAAATATTATCTATGTGCGACCACACGTATGGACAATGTATTAGAAAACGGAGATAATCACGTTGTTGACAAGTGTTAATTTCGTCTACCATGGCATGTATATAAACATTTCACCACCTAACGATTTCGGAAAATAGTAAAATCGCTCGTAAAAATTATTGTTTAACGATATCCATCATTATTGCCGAAGAAGGAAATGATTGTGTTATTGTGTTTCTTATTTTAAGCTGTCATTTTGCATAAACCAGCAGGACAAATGAATTAAACATACGAGGTCAACGAAAACAATGAACAAACCGTTATCACTTACGAGGTACAATTATGTGACTTTTCCTGAAAAAAGTAGATGTTGTAAAGTTTTAAGTAGAGTGTACATTATTTTATTAACAACTTTCTTCACGATTGACCTTTCGACAGTTTGAAGGGCTATCGTCCTATTTTAACGATGACAATCAAAAGCAAAGATTTCCAAAACCGATTCATATCAGCATTTCGACTCAAAAAGCGCTGTGACTTATGAAGTTGAAGATTTCAGTATCAAGTAGAGTGGTTCACGATGATGTTTTAAAATGACAATTTTAGAACGGTTTGCGCCGGTTGCCGCAACAACACTATTGCATCAGATAAAAATAGCACATGAGTCAGCGATGCCCCCATTGGAGATCTCTTGTCAGTGCTGTGGCCAGTGCCGGATTTACCATGAGGCAAATGAGACAACTGCCTCAGGGTCTTCACAGTTTCGGGGGCTACGCAAAGTTTTTTTTAATATTTAATATTATGAAATGGAAACGATTAGGCTAAACTGATTTTTATTTCTATAGTTCTAACTGTTCTATTATAGATGTATTCCGCCTGCATGGCCTGAAACAGTATATAAATTATTATAAATTATTAAATATAAAAAACAAGAGTAATTATTGTAAATATAATAGTGCATACAGGCGTCAGCTTAAGCCAAACCACTCCATGCCTATTTAGCAACATCGCTCCGGGAGCTCCCTGAATGTAACGAACAAGCTGGCAGGTGGCAAATCATTCCCAAACTCATCCACACATTTACATAGGTCCATAGACCACCCACTCCTACAAACTGTGCACAATATTCATACATAAACACTTACAAGAATATACATACATATATATACAATATACATAAACTAGCACCCACATGTACACATACGCATATAAATCCATAAACAAGCACATAATATATGCAAAGATATAATAGAAGACATACAACTACAGACACACACACACACATATATATGCAAGGTGCACACACACACAAACATGCACAGCGACACACAAGGATACATACACACTACACATACACACAATGTGTGTGTGTGTGTATTTTGTTTTATTATATAATTTATTTTTGTATAATTATATACGTTACTAAAATGAGTGATCGACACAAAACTCCACGACAACATGTTAGTGGTGTCAAAAGCAAAAATTAGTACACGAAAGAGAAAAAAAATATCAAGAAGTTGCCAAAAAATGTAGAACGATTGGTGAATACACAGCCATCATCATCTAATAATGAAGATAATACTGAAGGTTCAGTTGTTACTCAGACTCAGATGGACTCAAACAGAACCAGAGTCAGTTGAAGTATAACACAAACTTCCAGGGCTTGAATTGGA